TATTGAAAAAATCCGTAGTTCAATAAACTTTTAAAGAGCTTTGCATCTCCTACATTAGTATTTGCTGATATTTTTATCCTTTTCAAAATCCTTTGATAGAAAGTATTTTGTTCCCATTCATCAAAATCTTAAATGTATCCGCAATACAGGTTGCTAAGGCAGAACTTCTATTTTCTCGGTTTTAGCACCCTTTATAAAAACATTTTGCAATAAAATGGAAAATAATGTTATTGTCTGCTCTAATTTACCATAGTGACTCTTTTTTACATCAAGTTAACTATTTTTATCTTTCTTTAGAATTTTCTTAAAAAAGGTAATCTGTTCACTCCTTTAAATTTGCTGATAAATAGGGATAACTAGTACCTTACTGATGTGAATGCAACTTGATATTTATTGCACATCTGAATGCTGGATTAGAGAAGCACATACATTTTATGGTGCTTAACGTTAAAAAAAATATCAAAGTAATAAACAATTTGAAGCTTTCACGCTAGAAGGTAACAGATTCACTTAATTTTACTTTATACGTTTGTAATTCGAATATTTAAAATCTTTCGTGCAGAAGAAATACAATATGGAGAATTCTTATACTATTATGGATACTATATCGTATAGATAGCGATTATAATTTTGTAAGTAGCAAGACCAGAATGTAAATTATAATTGGATATGAAATTCAAATGCGATCTCTGCAAGTGATGATGAATTTCCCAATAACAAAGAAGATGAAGTAGCACTTTGATACATATTGTCCAACAATGCCATTAATAATCTTCCTCTGTGACCTACCGTAAGAAAGTTTTAAAAATCAGGGGATTTTATACATTACTAAGCCAAGGACCTGTTGTAGGGGTCTCAAAAAATTTTTGCAATTTTGACTTTTCTTTAACTTATTATAATAATTTAAAATTACCAAATATTTTTTACATCATGTATCTGAAACAAGATAGAGACAAAGAAAAAATGAAAACGTTTCGACGCATTTTTTTATAATAGAAACGTTTATTTTACTTGAAAAATTAAAATTGCAATAGTATATTACATTACAAGTGAAGAAACTGACAGTTTCACTCAAGCGCGAATCGGATTTGCGCATTGCTTATGGGGTCGGATAACATTTTCGTAAATATTGTGGGGTCCCCAACACTAAAAAGTTTAAGAAACTCTGAGCTAGTGTATAACTTAGAATCTGTAGCCTGGTAGTGTTATAAATCAACGTTTAATACGTTAGACTCAAATAGTACTCAAGATCTGGTGCAAGGAGCTGTTCTTTTATCTTTCTCTTATTCTTAGAGAGTAGAGCTAACCTTCATTTATAGAATTCACAGTTTTATAGTTATAGAATGTAAAACTTTGAGTTTCCCAACATATGAAATGGAAATTTTAATAATCAATAATATAAATTCTATAATAAATATGCCTGAAAAGTACCTTGGATGTAAATAGGAGTTTTAAATGATATTACTCCTTTATAACAGGCTAATCGACCCAATATTTCACCAGGGTACGTTAACGGCCGCACGCTATTTAAAACTTCTGCAAAACATAATATCCGATTTTATTGAGAACATGCTGTTGCTTCAACTCCGGAATGCATAGTTCCAACATAACGGCGCTTCAGCGCTCAAGACATCACAAGGGTAGCAGTACCTAATGGAGGAACTCTGAGAACGAATAATCGGGTCGTGGTTTCGAAGAGTGGCACCCACATTCACCTAATCTGACTCCAATCGGCGTTTCCTGTGATGATACCTCTAACAGCAGGTATACGTGACGTCTTCACAAACACTGCACGACCTTGAACGACGTATTACAGATGCTTGTGTAAATGTGTCATCCGCTATGCTACAACGCGTGCAACATGAAATTCTAACAAAATACCAGATGTGCATTTAAGCTGACGAAGAGAAGTTTGAACATCGAAAAATGGTAGCTTCTAATAACTGGTTGTTTCGTTTTTTCTAAGGTCGTTTCGTGACGTCACAGTCTAGGAAATCGCGAATAAACAAATACGCGGTTAAAACGTTCGGTTCTTAACATTCGTGTACACAAGGTTATAAGGTATTTATCCCGCCTTCGTGGTGTGGTGGTCTGTACGCTGGGCGCGTATTACAAAGGTCGGCGGTTCGATTCCCGGCGAAGGCGTTGCTAATATTTCATCTATCCTGCTTCCAAAAGCTACCTAATGTCTCTATAAGGTGTCTCTTCGTACTAAATCGACGATGCTGTACACCTTTATAATTCACGTTTTCTTCCTATCCCGTATCGTTTTCGAGATAGGGACGTTAACTACGCTGTTTTCCACTAGGTGGCGCAGTAAGTTATCTCATCTAGTCACTTTACTATACGTAGACACTACTTTTATGACTATAGCTGCAGCCGTTCGGCAGTCAAACGGGTGGTACCGGACTTTAGTGGGCACCCTGTATACATAACAACTAATGTCTGCGCTATAGTTGCATAAAAATGATATAAGTTTTATATATTTAAATAATATTCGTATTTCACTGAAAAAAATTAAGATGAAAATTTGAACCCATTTATATAAGTTGCGTAGAATGACATATACTGTGATGTATACTAATAACTCCTGTTTTATTAAAATTTGCTGGTTGTATTTAAAAAAGGGAACAGAAAATTGTTAAAGTTAAAAACTAATTTATAAAAAAAATTAGAGCCCTTTATGAAGTATCTGATAAACGTTAATAAGGAGGTAAACAAAATCAAGTGAGACACAGTGGTCTTTGTTTTGATAGCAACCAAATTGAAATACAATCAAATCAAATGATTCTTGAGTGAAAAGTAAGAGTAAAATGTAGGGTTTATATTTTGAGTATTTCAAAGTTTTCACTTCTATCTTAACATAAAATATTTTTTTTAATTTTAGAATAAGTAATGCAGTTTTTATAAGTCTTGAAAATGAAAATGTTTAGTTTAGACAATCTCTTGATAGACAAATGTTTTGAATTTATAAATGATGAAATTCTGAGCAAATGATTACTGAATGATTGTGATTCATACTGTTGCGTGCGTACGGGTTCGTAATGGATTGAATGCACAAGTCGATAAAATGTTAATAAAATATATTCTTATCCCAAAAAATAAGACAAAATGCTGGAATTTCCTTAAATATATTCCTACAATATCGCAGTATCTCACAGTAATTATATTTTTAACTACTAAAATAGAACTCAATTTAAAACGCAGAGAAAGCTAATTCGATCCCACCGCGAATTCGCTACAATCAATAACAGCACTAAGTAAACAACCGGAACTGAGATGTTTTAATCCGGCTTTTATGAGCTTTTTAATCAAGCAAGATAACATTCTGGTATTTTCTCGATTTTTCTGAACAGCAAAAGAGTACAATTACGAGATATCTATTCATTAAATTGCGCGTGCTCCTGTAGTTTTAATTCTTCGGGGTAGTTATTTTCTTAAATCTTGTCCCGCACTGCATTGTAAGGGGAAATAAAATAATTTTAATTACAATTCTATTAAAAATAGCCAACTAAATACAAAACTGTCAGAATACGTAGACGCAGACCTAATAATGAGTGCAGTGCAACATCGATTGAAAAAATAATAGTACGGAAGCTACTACTTTACAAATTGAACTTGTAATAATCCAAGCTACTTTGAATGCTAATTTCTGTAATCGTAAATATAGTCAGACAATTTATCGCCCCATATTACATCTAAGTAAAATAACGCCAACTCATAAAGTTTTAAATAAATCTTTTAACTTAGTATCCGGACTGACGGTTACAAAACCTAAGTAATAACAGCAAATCAAGTCTCCGCACTTGCGTAATTAAGAAACGAAACTAAAAAAAATTTAAATATTACATTAAAAAAGTAAACTGCATTGCCAATGCTCTTAAACTTTCAGGAACAATTACAGCTACAAAATTTCCAAGAATAATTGCAATTGAATTAAGTAATGCAGTCTTTAGAATAAGTAATTATGTAATGGCCAGAGGTGGCTGCCAAAAGCTATTTTTTGTGTTCAAGAGCTTTGCTTTTAAATACGTTAACTAAATTGTGTTCTGATGGGAGCGGACGAAAGTAGAAATACAAATGAAATAATAAAATAATTGATTAATAAACTTAAGACCTTACAAACGTATTCGAACAAAGTTATAAAAGTGTACGGCAGGAAACAAAGCAAAATTAAAAATACACAAATTTCGCTCGTCAAAACTGCAAAAAATAAACTTCAAAAATTTTAAAAAGCGTTACAGAAATTTTAATAAAGCGTTACAGACTTTATTAGTTTTGAAAGATAATAAATAGTTCCAGTTATATAAGACAACATGGATGGAAAAAATGGAAATAAGTCCGATGTTTCCAAAGTTTTAAGAATTGGTACCTAGCTCAATTCCTAGAACTTATAAGCAACGTTATTGACCGAGACAAGTCTTGACGCATTTATGCAACTATGATGTACAGTTTTGCTTGATCTCATTTAATGTATTGACTAATACACGCTCATTTTTGTAGCGCTGTTTTTGCTACTATGGAACAGGAAAAGAGTAACCATTTTCTTTCTATGGAAGGACGATATGAAAACAAACGTAATTTGATCAATGTCTGCGAAGAGTATTCTCTTTCCTCATTTGAAAAACACTTTTACGGCATGTTCGAATTGAAAGTTTAGTTATGCTATAAATAGGTGAATTGAGGAGACACCGTAAAATATTTCTGAGTAGGGATTAAAAAATAAATTTTTTGCTGAATATGTGTATTAAATTAAATTGGGAACCGCATTGTAATATTGATGAAAATTGATGAAATAAAATATTATTCCAAAATTCTTAGAACTTTGGAAACATTCCTTTAAAAACATATTTTTCATATTCTGTACTATTCAAAAAAGAATTCTTTTGCCTCTGAAGAGGAAAACATTGTAGGTATAAAGTTTAGATAATATTTTGTTTATTTTACTCAGATTATAAATTTATAAATAGTAAAAATAAGTAAAACAATTTTAAACTGACATGCCTGGTACAAGGTGAGACGAACGTGGTTTATTTATTACAGCGAAAATGCAAATTTATAGGTTGTTGCGAATATTTACAATGACAATATCTGAGACCGTATTCCACTCAGCGAATCTGAAAAATCTTAGAAACAATTCCAACAAACACAAATCAACACTTACGATGTCATTTTCATCCTTCTGAAGAAAAAGCACATCTTCAGAATATATGTGTCAAGCATTTATAGCATAAAATTTACAATGAAAAGAAATATCATCTGCAGTTGCAGTTCATTATATCATCAACTGTAAATAGAAAGCCAGGTGAACAGTATGTTATTCTTTGAAAGCTTCAAATTATTCTACGCGTTTATTGATAGCTGTCGCCCGGATGTCTTGGAATTTTGTAGACAAGAAGAATTTCGTATGCTTCTTTCCTTATAATTTATAGTGAATTTATTGTGCTTTTGTTGCTGTAATTTATTTCACTTCTCTGGCAGTAACATCAGAACAAGCCCACGAAATTTATCTTGGCAAGGAATGCAAGACTGTGCGTATCGTTGGCAAGAGCACCGTACAGGTGCTCAAGGCTCTTGCCAACAATAAGCGCTTTGCTGTTGCGATAAGTTGGCTTTGCTGAGTTCGGCGGCTGAGCATTGGGGCGGCTTTGCTGAGTTCCGCCCCAATTTAGATGGACAGCACTTTGAGTGGGCAGTTCCGAGGGTCTCTTACACTCTTCGCCTACGACTAATCTTTTGAGAGGACTTTCGGCTTGCCGCATATTTAGAGTGCCCACATCCATGCCTTCTCCGGGATTCGATTCCGGGCTCATCGGTACGGCTGTCAGAATCGCCAACCACTATCCCAATTTGGAGAGCATGAACTGATTATTTCTTTCGTTATTATTATCCAGTTCACCGTCCAGCAAAACTCAAATATTTTCTTCCCTTGTTCTCCTCCAAAATTAAATTTTTTGTGTCTGAAACGTTTTAGAATAGTTCTGTTCTTTTTTACCAGCTGCGAAGACCTATTTAGAAGTTCTATTAAGATCGACTTGAACCGCATACTTGTCATTCTCAAGGGCGCTGAATAACGACACCCTATCGAGGTCCATAAAACAAAAAGGCTGCTGCATTGGGAGCAGATATTTTTCGCTTTGACCCCACTTCTTGATTTCCATGTCTTGGACATAACTGCAAGATATGCGCTATCACTGCAAATCTATTCATATCAGCAAGCATAGATATCACTGTAGTTTTAGGGAGTTTAAAACGAAAAGACCTTTTTTTTTAATATGTAAGTAACTTTAAATGCAACATATCATAGATTATTTTATAAATGACAAAACTATACCCGCACGAAAAATGCCTAAATTAAAAGTAATATCTTACATTATACTTATGTGTATATAACGTTTATTCGGAAGAGTAAGTTCATAATATAAAGAGGTGTACCAAACTCGTATCGCTCTCATCTAATTCTATGTATTTTCGGATTTTTCGATTTTCATCACATAGCAAAAAGTGTCAAATCTATTACAATTTCTTCCAATTTGCATTTACGTTGCAATCTATTACAATGTAAATGGAATTTTGAACTGTCAAGTAAAAGCTTGGTTTATTGAAGTAAAAATAAGTGCATTAGTTATATGTCAGTACTTATTTCTTTATGTACTAGGCAAAATTTAACACGACTTGCTGATTCCAGGTAGCGCACATAGATTGACAAAGTAATAGATATCTAGGAGATTAGAACACGAAGGCTCTAATAAACTAATTCGCTTTCACAATCGTAGCCACAATTTCGATGATAACACTTTTGTGAAGCACAGGCACACTTTGATGATTTAAAACACTTTTTTTTCTTCTAAACATTTAAGAAATGGCTGTACTACGTTTTCACCGACGTTAGCACTTTATTACTAACGTTTTCACTGACGTTAGACTTAGATTGCAGGTACTCGATATCCATTATGAATTTCCGTTACACATGGATTTTGAGGAGATGGTTGGTTATTGCAGACATTTCTACTGGAATTCTAAAGCCCAAGCATTGTGTCCTGTCGACTCAATTGTAATATATTCAAAATCAGAAGCAATGACCAGGAAATTGGAGGCGAAGGCAGATTAAATCTTCAGTTTTATTCCCAGCAACATGTTGCGGCTACGCACAAGTCGGCACATGAAATGTGCCTGTTCCAAAAGGCTTACATTTTTGATTAATTTGTGGCAAAAACAGAAGAAGCAGCAGACAGACAGCAGTCCAGCTAGGCCAAAGCGTGAAAAGAAAGTGCGCAATGTTCGGAATGAAATCTGAAGACAAACTGAGTTAGTTTTGGTTCTCAAAGCTGAGTTAGTTGATTGAATAGTTAATATTGCTGTAAAATTATTATTGGCTGCTTGAGTTTTAATTCAATTTACATCACCAGAATTACGTAAGAGTCATATGAAATAAATTTTTCTCGAAATGACGCAATGCAAATAGATGTTGCTAAGTTTAGAAGGGGAATTAATTTACGCTGCTAATTTAATCTTTTACGTTATCTCTATTTTTCTTACATATATATCATACTTCTAGTTCGTCAGGTAAAAATAAACTATTACAATGCATGTTCGAATAAAAATAAATGTTTTTAAGTTTCTCAGGACACCGTCTGCAGAAGGCTGGTGTCTCGAGGGAAAAAAAAAAAAAAAAAAAAAAAAAAAACACAAGAAACTGCAATGTTTTCTAACAAACTGGCGCTCAGTTAGCCCAAGCGCAACAGGAATAAAAATAAAAATCACTATGCTTAAATCATTGAATTATAAAAATATATCACAAAATAATATAATAAATATTTTCCTTATGTGTTTCTCGTAAATTAAATCTCATATATTATTTTTCCAATAAAATTAGAATAATGTGGTAGTTGTACCTGAAGTGGTAGAAAACGTAGCACTACTTAAAATGAAAAATTCATAATAAATAAGAAAAAAATCAACTGCACCATTGCCATGTGTCTAAAGATCGGTTTACCATGCATTCAGCGAGCTATAATCATATCTCATATAAAAATTCCTTATAGAATCAAAATTATGAAAAAAAAATGAAATCTGAAAGCCTTCAGATTTTACATTACGCCCAAAGTGTATTACATTCATTTATTAAATATCATGTTCTTCGCACTTAAACCATAAAATTCAGTTCAACAGCAATATTGCAAAATAATTTTAAAGTGAACATATCTTTAGAATTTCCGATACAGAGTCTCGCGCGTTGGAGATAATTTTTTCCCATACAGAGTTGCCGTTGCTTCCCTTGAAATCGTTTTGTTAATCAAAAATTCGTTATAGTCTTACAAAATATGAAATAGATAATAAATCAAATTCCATGTTAGGTATTCCAGATGCCCATATTCGGTGGAGGATTACGTGATTCAAAATTTGATGGCTCTAGGTACCGTTATTTTATCACAATGCGAGAAACATACATACAATTGTGCAGATTCTGCATTATTCTTTAAATACAACACAGGGCTCTAATATTTGGTGGCAACAATTTGAAAAGTGAACCGACATTTGTAGTGAACCAACGCAAAATGCCAAACGAAATTGAGCCCTTCTGGGCTAACACCCTTTGGGCTAAAAAAAAAAAAAAAAAAAAAAAAAGGGCAAAGAGAGCGATTGAATTTTTGAGTGAGTGAATGAACTGATTGAGTAAGTGGGAAAGTCATATAGTAAATAAAATAAAATAACTGCAGGCTTAAAATAAATTAAATACTGAACAAATAAACTGGTAGGCCTGTTCTAATTGCTTATCTTAAAACCATTTCAAGGGGCAAATTGAAATTTTCACTTACCCCTCAAAATTACATTTGCTATTTATTCTTAGGATTTTCATATATATACCTATTAATGTTCTTAATGTTGTAAAAATTAATGTCAAAATTTTTTAAGGTGATGGAATGTAATCTGAAGCTTTTTATGTTGTAATTTGCTACTTTCGATGAGCCATCATAAAGTTTCAGCTGACATTGATATAAATTGCTTCCTTTTATAAAATATATCCTATATTTGATATAAATTGCTTCCTTTTATAAAATATATCCTAACTTACAGAAATCGTTTTATAGATACGAGAAACAACTTCGTGCTTGAGAACATGATTAAAGATTATCTTGTGGGAAAATGATAAGTTCGTCAGCTCCTCAAAATAGACGGATTTTTGTCAGAGGTTTGAGTATATATTCCACTCTCTTCTCGAGAAATAAATGGATTTGTGTCTGCACCATCTGTTCTAGTAACGCCATTTTCTAAAGCAGAGGGCGTAACTATTAGCCCCAAGGACGGCCAGGAAGTAGGAATAGGATGATGAATCGTGAAGAGGACGACTGGGAACAAATCGAATTTCACTTCCGCGGTCAGATGAATGGAGAATAAATTGTACTTATATTCAATTTCGATCATTTGAAGGACAAACATTTACTAAGTAGGAATTATTTGGCATCAGCTGCGGATTATTCAGCGATAGATTTAACTGTATCTAGGTCATAGTTTCGCTTTCTGTTCAAATGTTTCAACAACTGAGTCGGAATTAAGTTTTCAGTATTCGAGACAGTACGGCAAAAATTGGGGCTTAGGCATACAGATATTCTTCAGTTTTGGATAACTGAACAATCCAATTTAGTCCAGCCGGCTCTCTCAAAGGTTACGGATCGAAACAATGCCGGAAAGGAAATATAATTAGAACCTACTCTGTAAATGCAGTTAGGTCCTCTAGACACATACGTCATTCACTGTATAATCACTTATGAAAGAGTTCGGAAAAGCTTATACAGTGCGCTACAAAACTAGTGAAACGGATTTTTAAGAGCGGTAAAAGAGACATAAACAAACACGTTTTATCATTGACTGCATGGCCGCATATTAAGCAGTTAAGCTATGTAGGTTTATAACCCTATGATATTATCCCGCAGTAGGGTAATGTTTCAGTTATTGTTCTCAGTACATGGCAAGTATCATTCGCAACTATTTGATTGGCTCGCTTTGTTTACC